CGAACCAGCGCCTTCTGGATAACAAGACAGAACGCTCTGCCCTGCAGATGAGAACCACGTTTAGGCTTTCATGCAGTGTAGGGTTATGTTCATAGACGCTCAATAAGCACGATTCTGAACACCACACAAACGGACCAACTGAGCGAACCAGCGACCTTCTGTTTACAAGACGACTCTGCCCTAGCCATGAGGCCCCCTTGGCTTTCATGTCTGTAGGGGTCTTATGTTCGTACTCGTTCAAATAAAGCACGATTCCTTGAACACCAACACAAAACGGTTGCCACATGCTGGAATCGAACCAGCGACCTTCTGTTTACAAGACAGACGCTCTGCCCCTGAGCCAATGAGGCACGCTTTCAGGCTTTTATGTCAGTGTAGGGGCTTATGTTCGTACTCGTCAAATAAAGCACGATTTCTGAAGCACACAACGCAAAACGGATGCCACATGCTGGAATCGAACCAGCGACCTTCTGTTTACAAGACAGACGCTCTGCCCCTGAGCCAATGAGGCACCCTTTTAGGCTTTTCATGTCAGTGTAGGGGTTTATGTTCGTACTCGTTCAAATAAAGCACGATTTCTTGAACACCAACGCAAAACGGATGCCACATGCTGGAATCGAACCAGCGACTTCTGTTTACAAGACAGACGCTCTGCCCCTGAGCCAATGAGGCACGCCTTTTCAGGCTTTCATGTCAGTGTAGGGGCTTATGTTCGTACTCGTTCAAATAAAGCACGATTTCTTGAACACCAACGAAAACGGATGCCACATGCTGGAATCGAACCAGCGACCTTCTGTTACAAGACAGACGCTTTGCCCCTGAGCCAATGAGGCACGCATTTAGGCTTTTATGTCGGTGTGACAATCGGCTATTAATTACTAACTGATGTTAGTTATACCACTACTATCTAAGCTTTCTACTAGCAAACACAAAAGGCTAGAAATAATTTTCGCCGATCCTGTACAAAACGTTCTAGACCTTGGGGTTACGGAAGTCCGCTCCTGCATAAACTGCATCTTTCCCGAGCTCTTCTTCGATACGGAGCAATTGGTTATATTTGGCTAGACGTTCGGAACGGCACGGGAGCACCAGTTTTGATCTGTCCGGGTGGCAAGGCCAACAACGAGATCGGCAATGAAAGTATCCTCAGTTTCTCCTGATCTATGGGATACCATAACACCCCAACCATTTGAGCGCGATAATTTAGCCGCTTCGATTGACTCGGTAACGGTACCAATCTGGTTTACCTTCAACAGTAAACAATTGCAACTTTTTTTTTCAATGGCCTGACGAATACGTTTCGGATTCGTCACAGTGAGATCATCCCCCACAAGTTGGATATTGGTCGCAGCCTTGAATTTGCCCCAGTTATCCCAGTCATCTTGATCAAAAGCGTCCTCTATCGACACAACCGGATATTCCTTGATGAAGGTTTGGTAGAGTTCAGCTGGTTTTTCTCCAGTCAACCATTTGCTGGGATCGGAATTTGGATTTTTGAAGTCAAGATCATACTTCCCTCCTTGAAAAACTCGGATGCCGCCACATCCATACCTATTGAAATCTTTCCAGTGTATCCAGCAAGTTGAATAGCAGTCTTCAAAAGATCCAAACCTTCCTTGTTGTCTTGAATATTTGGAGCAAATCCTCCCTCATCACCAACTGCTGTAGCGTCAAGACCATATCTCTTCTTGATTTCTGATTTCAGGTGATGATAGACTTCAGATCCCATTCGCATGGCTTCGGAAAAACTGGACGCGCCAATAGGTAAAATCATGAACTCCTGCATTGCAAGTTTGTTTCCAGCATGCGAACCACCATTAATTACATTGAAGGCGGGTACGGGCAGAATGACCTTGCTAACACCAGCGAGTTCGGCGATATACTTGTAGAGTGGCATGCCCTTGTGAACAGCACCAGCTTTCGCAACAGCCAGTGGAACACCCAAGATAGCATTAGCACCAAGATTCGACTTGTTCTCAGTTCCATCCAGTGCCAACATGAATTGATCGATATCTCGTTGTTGAGTTACGCAAAAGTTCTTGGAAATAAGGGCTGGAGCGATCTTGTCATTAATGTTGGCCACAGCTTTCAAAACTCCCTTTCCATGGTGAACGGCTTTGTCTTTATCACGAAGCTCGAGGGCTTCACGCACCCCAGTTGAAGCTCCTGATGGAACGGTCAGCGCGAAAAACACCTTTATCGGTATATAGATCTACCTCAACGGTCGGATTACACGAGAATCGTAGATCTGGCGAGCGTGAATCTTTGTCGATCGGCATAGCTCAAACTTGGGTAATTAAACCGCATGTAATGGTAAATGTAGAGCGCATGTGGCGCAGTGGTTAGAGGTGCCCTGCGTCGCACACGAGGTCACTGGTTCGATCTCGCGATCATGGCTCACCAAGCCATCCATCCCTCCGGGGTCGGTAAATTGGTACCAGACAGGTCTTAGACTTGTCTGGGAGGATAAGCAGCACTGACTCGGTTCAGGCGGGAGGCCACCGCGAGTCATTGTAAAGGCCAGATGTGCATTCAATCACCTCAAACGAAGTCAGAAATTGAAGTCGAATGCATGGCGCAATCCCTCAGGGATTGATCACAACGACCGAGAGCTTTATCCTTTTTTTTATGTCGGTCTGAGGGCTTATGTTCAAACTCGTTCAAAATAAAGTACGATTTCATGAGCAATAACGCAAAACAGATGCCTCATGCTGGAATCGAACCAGCGACCTTCTGTTTACTAGACAGACGCTCTGCCCCTGAGCCAATGAGGCACGCTTTCAGGCTTTATGTCAGTGTAGGGGCTTATGTTCGTACTCGTCAAATAAAGCACGATTTCTTGAACACCAACACAAACGGATGCCACGTGCTGGAATCGAACCAGCGACCTTCTGTTTACAAGACAGACGCTCTGCCCCGAGCCAATGAAGGCACCCATTTAGGCTTTCATGTCAGTGTAGGGGCTTATGTTCGTACTCGTTCAAATAAAGCACGATTTCTGAACACCAACACAAAACGGATGCCACATTCTGGAATCGAACCAGCGACCTTCTGTTTACAAGACAGACGCTCTGCCCCTGAGCCAATGGAGGCCGCTTTTAGGCTTTCATGTCAGTGTAGGGGCTTATGTTCTACTCGTTCAATTAAAGCACGATTTCTTGAACAACCAACACAAAACGGATGCCACATGCTGGAATCGAACCAGCGACCTTCTGTTTACAAGACAGACGCTCTGCCCCTGAGCCAATGAGACCGAATTTTAGGCTTTATTGTCAGTGTGAGGGGCTTATGTTCGAACTCGTTCAAGATAAAGCACGATTTCTTGAACCCAATCCAAACGCAAAACGGATGCCTACATTGTGTGAATCGAACCAGCGACTTCTGTTTACAAGACAGACGCTCTGCCCCTGAGCCAATGAGGCACGCATTTTAGGCTTTTATGTCAGTGTGAGGGCTTATGTTCATAACTCGTTCAAAATAAAGTACGATTTCATGAGCAAGAACGCAAAACAGATGCCTCATTCTGGAATCGAACCAGCGACCTTCTGTTTACATAGACAGGACGTCTCTGCCCCTGAGCCAATGAGGCAAGCTTTCAGGCTTTTATGTCAGTGTAGGGGCTTATGTTCGTACTCGTCAAAATAAAGCACGATTTCTTGAGACACTAACGCCAAAACAGATGCCTCATGCTGGAATCGAACCAGCGACCTTCTGTTTACAAGACAGACGCTCTGCCCCTGAGCCAATGAGGCACCCCTTTTAGGCGTTTCATGTCAGTGTAGGGGTTTATGTTCGTACTCGTTCAAATAAAGCCACGATTTCTTGAACACCAACACAAAAGCGGATGCCACATGCTGGAATCGAACCAGCGACCTTCTGTTTACAAGACAGACGCTCTGCCCTGAGCCAATGAGGCACCCTTTTAGGCTTTCATGTCAGTGTAGGGGCTTATGTTCGTACTCGTTCAAATAAAGCACGATTTCTGAACACTCAACAAAACGGATGCCACATGCTGGAATGAACCAGCGACCTTCTGTTTACAAGACAGACGCTCTGCCCCTGAGCCAATGAGGCACGCATTTTAGGCTTTATGTCGGGTTGTGTGGGGCTTATGTTCAGAACTCGTTCAAAATAAAGTACGATTTCATGAGCAATAACGCAAAACAGATGCCTCATGCTGGAATCGAACCAGCGACCTTCTGTTTACTAGACAGGACGCTCTGCCCCTGAGCCAATGAGGCACGCTTTTCAGGCTTCTATGTCAGTGTAGGGGTTTATGTTCGTACTCGTTCAAATAAAGCACGATTTCATGAGCACCAACGCAAACACGGATGCCACATGCTGGAATCGAACCAGCGACCTTCTGTTTACAAGACAGACGCTCTGCCCCTGAGCCAATGAGGCACCCTTTTAGGCTTTTATGTCAGTGTAGGGGCTTATGTTCGTACTCGTGTCAAAATAAAGTACGATTTCATGAGCAATAACGCAAAACCAGATGCCTCATAGGGCTTATGTCAGAACTCGTTCAAAATAAAGTACGATTTCATGAGCAATAACGCAAAACAGATGCCTCTGCTGGAATCGAACCAGAGACCTTCTGTTACAAGACAGACGCTCTGCCCCTGAGCCAATGAGGCACGAATTTTAGGCTTTTATGTCGGTGTGAGGGCTTATGTTCAACTCGTTCAAAATAAAGTACGATTTCATGAGCAATAACGCAAAACAGATGCCTCATGCTGGAACTCGAACCAGAGACCTTCTGTTTACAAGACAGACGCTCTGCCCCTGAGCCAATGAGCACGAATTTTAGGCTTTTATGTCGGTGTGAGGGCTTATGTTCATACTCGTTCAAAATGAAAGTACGATTTCATGAGCAATAACGCAAAACAGATGCCTCATGCTGGAATCGAACCAGCGACCTTCTGTTTACTAGACAGACGCTCTGCCCCTGAGCCAATGAGGCACGCCTTTCAGGCTTTCATGTCAGTGTAGGGGCTTATGTTCGTACTCGTTCCAAATAAAGCACGATTTCTTGAACACCAACCAAAACGGATGCCACATGCTGGAATCGAACCAGCGACCTTCTGTTTACAAGACAGACGCTCTGCCCCTGAGCCAATGAGGCACGAATTTTAGGCTTTATGTCGGTGTGGGGCTTATGTTCAGACTCGTTCAAAATAAAGTACGATTTCATGAGCAATACGCAAAACAGATGCCTCATGCTGGAATCGAACCAGCGACCTTCTGTTTACTAGACAGACGCTCTGCCCCTGAGCCAATGAGGCACGCTTTTAGGCTTTTATGTCAGTGTAGGGGCTTATGTTCGTACTCGTTCAAATAAAGCACGATTTCTTGAACACCAACGCAAAACGGATGCCACATGCTGGAATCGAACCAGCGACCTTCTGTTTACAAGACAGACGCTCTGCCCCTGAGCCAATGAGGCACGCATTTTAGGCTTTTATGTCGGTGTGCGGGCTTATGTTCAGACTCGTTCAAAATAAAGTACGATTTCATGAGCAATAACGCAAAACAGATGCCTCATGCTGGAATCGAACCAGCGACCTTCTGTTTACAAGACAGACGCTCTGCCCCTGAGCCAATGAGGCACGCATTTTAGGCTTTTATGTCGGTGTGCGGGCTTATGTTCGTACTCGTTCAAAATAAAGTACGATTTCATGAGCAATAACGCAAAACAGATGCCTCATGGTTCAAACTCGTTCAAAATAAAGTACGATTTCATGAGCAATAACGCAAAACAGATGCCTCTGCTGGAATCGAACCAGCGACCTTCTGTTTACAAGACAGACGCTCTGCCCCTGAGCCAATGAGGCACGCATTTTAGGCTTTTATGTCGGTGTGCGGGCTTATGTTCAAACTCGTCCAAAATAAAGTACGATTTCCTGAGCGATAACGCAAAACAGATGCCTCATGCTGGAATCGAACCAGAGACCTTCTGTTTACTAGACAGACGCTCTGCCCCTGAGCCAATGAGGCACGCTTTTCAGGCTTTTATGTCAGTGTAGGGGCTTATGTTCGTACTCGTTCAAATAAAGCACGATTTCTTGAACACCAACACAAAACGGATGCCACATGCTGGAATCGAACCAGCGACCTTCTGTTACAAGACAGACGCTCTGCCCCTGAGCCAATGAGGCACGCATTTTAGGCTTTTATGTCGGTGTGCGGGCTTATGTTCAGACTCGTTCAAAATAAAGTACGATTTCATGAGCAATAACGCAAAACAGATGCCTCATGCTGGAATCGAACCAGCGACCTTCTGTTTACTAGACAGACGCTCTGCCCCTGAGCCAATGAGGCACGCCTTTTAGGCTTTTATGTCAGTGTAGGGGTTATGTTCGTACTCGTTCAAATAAAGCACGATTTCTTGAGCACCAACACAAAACGGATGCCACATGCTGGAATCGAACCAGCGACCTTCTGTTTACAAGACAGACGCTCTGCCCCTGAGCCAATGAGGCACGCTTTTAGGCTTTTATGTCGGTGTGGGGCTTATGTTCAGACTCGTTCAAATAAAGTACGATTTCATGAGCAATAACGCAAAAACAGATGCCTCATGCTGGAATCGAACCAGCGACCTTCTGTTTACTAGACAGACGCTCTGCCCCTGAGCCAATGAGGCACGATTTTAGGCTTTATGTCGGTGTGAGGGCTTATGTTCAAACTCGTTCAAATAAAGTACGATTTCATGAGCAATAACGCAAAACAGATGCCTCATGCTGGAATCGAACCAGCGACCTTCTGTTTACAAGACAGACGCTCTGCCCCTGAGCCAATGAGGCACGCTTTTCAGGCTTTTATGTCGGTGTGGGGCTTATGTTCAGACTCGTTCAAAATAAAGTACGATTTCATGAGCAAACGCAAAACAGATGCCTCATGCTGGAATCGAACCAGCGACCTTCTGTTTACAAGACAGACGCTCTGCCCTGAGCCAATGAGGCACGCATTTCAGGCTTTTATGTCGTGTGAGGGGCTTATGTTCGTACTCGTTCAAATAAAGCACGATTTCTTGAACACCAACGCAAAACGGATGCCACATGCTGGAATCGAACCAGCGACCTTCTGTTTACAAGACAGACGCTCTGCCCCTGAGCCAATGAGGCACGCATTTTAGGCTTTTATGTCGGTGTGAGGGCTTATGTTCAAACTCGTTCAAATAAAGTACGATTTCATGAGCAATAACGCAAAACAGATGCCTCATGCTGGAATCGAACCAGAGACCTTCTGTTTACTAGACAGACGCTCTGCCCCTGAGCCAATGAGGCAGCATTTTAGGCTTTTATGTCAGTGTAGGGGCTTATGTTCGTACTCGTTTCAAATAAAGTACGATTTCTTGAGCAATAACGCAAAACAGATGCCTCATGCTGGAATCGAACCAGCGACCTTCTGTTTACAAGACAGACGCTCTGCCCCTGAGCCAATGAGGCACCCCTTTAGGCTTTTATGTCAGTGTAGGGGCTTATGTTCGTACTCGTTCAAAATAAAGTACGATTTCATGAGCAATAACGCAAAACAGATGCCTCATAGGGCTTATGTTCAAACTCGTTCAAAATAAAGTACGATTTCATGAGCAATAACGCAAAACAGATGCCTCATGCTGGAATCGAACCAGCGACCTTCTGTTTACAAGACAGACGCTCTGCCCCTGAGCCAATGAGGCACGCATTTTGGGCTTTTATGTCGGTGTGCGGGCTTATGTTCAGACTCGTTCAAAATAAAGTACGATTTCATGAGCATAACGCAAACAGATGCCTCATACTGGAATCGAACCAGAGACCTTCTGTTTACAAGACAGACGCTCTGCCCCTGAGCCAATGAGGCACGAATTTTAGGCTTATGTCGGTGTGAGGGCTTATGTTCAAACTCGTTCAAAATAAAGTACGATTTCATGAGCAATAACGCAAAACGAGATGCCTCATGCTGGAATCGAACCAGCGACCTTCTGTTTACAAGACAGACGCTCTGCCCCTGAGCCAATGAGGCACCCCTTTTAGGCTTTCATGTCAGTGTAGGGGCTTATGTTCGTACTCGTTCAAATAAAGCACGATTTCTTGAACACCAACGACAAAACGGATGCCACATGCTGGAATCGAACCAGCGACCTTCTGTTTACAAGACAGACGCTCTGCCCCTGAGCCAATGAGGATCGCCATTTAGGCTTTTATGTCAGTGTAGGGGCTTATGTTCGTACTCGTTCAAATAAAGCACGATTTCTTGAACACCAACGCAAAACGGATGCCTCATGCTGGAATCGAACCAGCGACCTTCTGTTTACAAGACAGACGCTCTGCCCCTGAGCCAATGAGGCACGCATTTTAGGCTTTATGTCGGTGTGCGGGCTTATGTTCGAACTCGTTCAAATAAAGTACGATTTCATGAGCAATAACGCAAAACAGATGCC